TCAGTTAAAGAAAGCTAAGCAAATACTTCACCAAGAAGTCAAAACGGCTCAAGACAGAAAACAGAAGATGCTTCACAAGGTGAAGACGAATCCTCTTCTCCAAAGCAGTCAAACAATTAAACACTTTCATCTTTACTTGATGTTGCTACAGACTGATTGGTTATCCAAATTAATATTTAATTTAAATGTATGGTTCTGAAGAGACTTTGCTTCTATTTGAAACAGGCACAGTTGGACTATGTACATCTAGGTAAAACTAAGCTAATATTAAAACAAGATATTCTCCTGGTGAAAGTATTTATTTCCTTATTCTAAAAGGTGGCAAAGAAAAATAAAGAAAACCAAAAAAGTCTTGAGACAGAGCTGTCCCTGTGCTTCCATACTGTGCTGCACAGAGTACCAATATTGTTCTGGTACTGCAGAAAAAACATAAGCACCGTATGATCAGCAAACCTCATGCTACTGCCAACTAATATGTGACTGTTACTAGCTTTGCTTTTCCTCTACAGAGAGCAGTTACTGGGTAGGAAAGATATAGCATATAATGTCTATCTTAAGTTGAAATGTATTTGCCGGTATCTGTTTCAGATAAGCCTGCCATGGTTTAAAGCAGTTTTATACCACAGATAGCATTGCTGGCTACATTTCTTACTGGCTGGTTTGTTTACCTTAATAAAACAAATATGCCATAAAAGTATTACTGTTGCGCAATCCTGAGCAGGATTTCAGTTCACTGTACATCAGTTGCCTTTGGTTAACACGCAAAGCTGTGACTCGCAACTCCTCCTACCTGACTTTCCATTGGTCTACGTAGAAACACTTGTCCAAGTAGCAGATGAAGTGTTTCCAAAACAAGCTAAACTAGATTATAACTGAAAAGAACTACACACTATTTTTTTACCCTTCACCTAAAGCTGTATGCTGTGGCACAAAGTCCAACTTTGATATAATAGACTGTATCAGAAAACTGAACAGGCTTTCAAGTTAACTAGGAATGTGCCATATTAAAATAATAGCTTACTTAGGGTTGGAATGAGATGGAGGCCAAGACAAACTTTAACTAAGTGATTAACCTGGAGACTTTGGAGGACTCTTTGCTGGCTGCAATTCAAGCACAGCAGCAGGAGATTAACATTTAATTCACACTGACAGGTTACTGCCTGGACTTGTACTGCACTAGCCTCAGCCAACACAATCACTGCAAATACATCACACTTTCACGAATTCACCTAATTTTACTGAATGGTTTAGTCATCTTAAAGCTCATCTTCATCATTTCAAACTAAAAAAGGGGGAAAAAATAAGGAAATAAGTAGTGCCCTAGATAAAAAAAAAAAAAAAATTCCTTCTTTCCAATGAAGCAGACATCCAGTGTCACAGGCATACGCACGCTTGGCATCATCTACTGTCATCATCAGGACTTTCTATGTTTTCTTCTTCTCCCCTAAACTCACCCTCTTCTGGGCCTCCAATTGACTCTTTAACTCTCCTTTAAAAGCCTAATGCATTCCAAAAATATTCAAGGAAAGCTTTTGCTACTTTGGGGGTTGTTGGTTCTCTTGAAGGACCAAATATAACAAACTTGAACAACTATATAGGGAAAATTGATTTTACCAAGAACCCAAGCAAACAAATACTTCACTTCAGTCCTTCCACTGCTAGTGGTCCTCAGTGACATCTCACAATGCCCAGCATATTCCACAACAGTATCTGAGATTTTTTTAATGAAATATGTTCAATATGCTGCTGCTACATTCATTTCAGTCAGGATCACAAAATTAGCAGCATCTATTGAACAGGTATTTTTCTGCTTTGCAAATTTAAGGTATAGAGCCTGAGGAAAAGAAACCAAAAGAGTATGTAGGGGCCACAATAGAGACAATCTGACACGTTTTCAACAATATCCTTGTTGTTCGCAATTGTACATAACCTGCCGCATTCTTCCTCAGGGTAAGCATGAAACCACCCCTATTTTTTCAACTAAAAAAAAGAAAAAAGGGACAGAGTGCCAAAATTTATATTTGCCCATGACCATTAGCGGGAAGTGTACACAAACCTTCCTAACCACCCACACAGCGCCATAAAAATGTCTCAAGTTCTTTAAAATACAGGAGATCATCCAGCTGCCCTTTGCTTACACTGAATGCTCTTTTTTGTTCCAGTTTGGTGTCTTTCAAAGATTTCCCAACAAGCTTTCAAAACCAAACTCTTCTCCAACTTTGTGAGTGCTAACCACAAACTTCAAATCAGTTTTTCAGGGCCCATTAACTTCTTGCATGCCTGTCAATTTCCAGTATAATTGTAAATTCTTTGCACACTTTAAAGACAAACTACAGAACAGTGTTCATTTGATGGATATTTACTAATAATATCCAATTAGCTATTCCCCTGAAGGGACTGCCAGTCAGCTCCTATTAGTCTATACTCCTTTCAGCCAAGCTTACTATGTTGCATTACCTCTATCGCTGGCTTAACTGAAAGATAACTTTTGTGAGTTTCGAGGGAAAAAAACCCTCATATCAATGCAGCTTGGTATCAAGGTAAGCACAGAAGAACTAAGAGGGTCAAAACGAATGTATTTTTACTTAAGATAAAGCTTGTCATATTCTGCCATCTACTTCTTTCAAACTTGTCCATAATTTTAGTAGACAACATTATATTCGGAAATGGGGATGTTTTCTTATATTGAAATTTATCTACATAGATAGATAAATAAATATTTCTACAGATACCTTGATCAGATATTCCTGTTCAATAGGGATATTAAACCTCATTATCAAGAAACAAAACAAAAACCAACCAACCCAAAAACCAAAGACTTGCTGCCAGGCCTGAGCAGTGTGCACTTGTTTGCCTGCGGAATCTACCTGGTGTCCTTTCCAACCACAACCGTTCTCTCATTCTGCCTATAAATGACAGGCCATTAGGGAATAAAAAATAAACCCATTAACTTTACAACTGAATACAATGTGTCAAAAAAAAGTATGTGTGATTCCTCATAAAAGTCCTTTAGACTGAGAGGATTCACACTAACTGAGCTGGAGACTCTTCAGGGCCCTTCTCTTGGTAGAAAGCCTTTAACAGATACATTTACACAGGCACTCAAATTATTTGCTTACTTGGCTTTGCCAGTTGTTAGCTGGTTTTCCTTCAGCCTAAGCGCAACCCACACCTTCACTCTTTCTGTTGGAAAGTGAATGCTTTTTGCTCTCTTCTTCTTGTAAGGCTCAAAATTTAATAACTGGTTAGCTTGTTGAGCTGTTTTACAAGGTTACAAGCGACATTTCAGTAACTTCAAAATTACCAAGGAGAAGAAGAGCTACTAAGAGACTATCATGCTTTCGCAAGTGTGATTTGAAACATCTTGACACATTGCATTCTTTTTTGTTAGACGCTTTGATGTCTGTGTCATTAGCGTGCAATAGCAAAATCCCATTTCACCCCTGCATACGGACATGTATCCTTATTTCTGGGCAAAGAGGCACAACAAAGGAATACTTTTTCCAAGAACACTGCAGGGTTCTACATATCTCCCACAGAAGTATATAGCAGAAAACTCTGATTTTAACATTCTGGTTAAGGAGCCAGACCAATCCTAGTCTTTCACATTCACCTTTACTGCTGCCATTAATTTCTAACAGGCACATAAAAACCAAGAGCTTGTACTGTACTTGCACAAGTGCACATCATTCCCATCTGCTGGGGACTGCAAAACCTGAGGGGCTAAATGAAGACTGTGCTCCCAGTTGCCCAGTTTGAGGGAACATTTCATGGGAATGGATATTTTAATTTTCCATTTAATAAATACATTTTAAACCCTATGTCCAAGATGGTAATCATTTACTATCTAACAAACGCAGTGCCTTTCAGGCTAGGTCTGCAAGAGAAGAAACCAGCAGCTGCTGAGCTCAGATAGGGACACTGCAACAGGTGGCTTTGGTAGAAAGGGGTTGACAAAGTAGGCAAACAAGTAACAAAAGCTAGGTTAGCTGGTAGAGAAGGCACAGTAGACTGGGCAAGAAGGTACAAAAGCAGGTGCGCAGGAACCAGTCTGTCACGATTCCTGCAGAAGTAACAGCAAGACTGCCATAGCTGGATGCTACAAGCAAAAAAGGCCTTCATGGGGTGTTTACGCAGCACAGGCTGAGAACATGATTTTTGGTGCAGTGTTTTCCAAGATACTAAGGACGCAAGCTGGAGGCCACAGCCATGCTGCCTGGGTGAGAAAAACAGATGGACCTGGCACAGCTTTAAGTGGTCTGAGATAGAAAACGCAACAGCAACGTATATACAACACTGCTAGAGAGATGTTACTTGTAGGAAGCAACCACTTATATATCCTAATGGATGGACAAGTAACATTAAAAGAAACTCTATTACATAGCATATATTGTACCGACTTACACTGAAAGAGCCTCAAAACTCTTGAGTCTTAAATTTGTAGAAGAATTAAAGCAGCTCTAGATTACTTGGTTAGAGATTAAAGAAGTAATGCTTTAAATCTTACTTGGTAAGGATACGTTCTCCATTTAAAAGCCCAAGGAACACATGTAACGATCATATAAATTTAAAACAGGGTTCTAAATTCAGTTATTCACCCCACTCTTGTGCAACTAGTTTGCCATACAGAAGTACTGTAGGCTTCACTGTACTAGAGTACAAGACATGAACACACCCAAACACCCCTCAGCCTCCAACAGATGAGCCTTAAGGGAGACCAAGGCTTCATCCCCTCATATACCAAAACCCTAGCGAAGCCCCTGGCTGAAACCCTTCCGGGGGTCCCCAGCGGGCGGAGGTGAGCGCCCCGGTCGGAGATCCCACCAGCAGCACAGGCACAGGCCCAAGCAGGGGTCAGCCAGGTTTAGACTCCCGGGGCTGTGTGTGGGAGGCCGAGCCAAGGCCAGAGCCGCCCCGGGGGGAGCGCATGATTGTGAACAGCCCCCGCGGGCCGGCTCCGGCTGCGCTGCAACAGAAGGGCCGCTGCGGCGGTAACTCACCGAGTGGGGAGCGGGAGGCGCCCGGGCACGCCGGGGGCAGTGGCGTGGGGCTGCGCCTGGCCGGGCAGACCCTCCGCCGGCGAGTGCCTCCCCAGCCGCTCCCTCAGGTGCCGGCTCCGCCCTCTCGCCCTCCCCGGTTCCTCCGGGTTCCTGCCCCAGCCGAGACTGCCCGCCGCGGACGGCGACTAACGGCCCTGACTGACCCCTGCGCGGCCGGCGCGGGCTGGAAGTGCACGGACCAGACCCGGCCCCCCGGCGGCGGGAGGGGGAGGGCTGCAGAGGCCTCCAAGACACCGCCCCCCCCCCGTGACTCAGCGCGTTCGCAGGGGCGGGGCGGCGCCACGTGCTCCGCCGGCCGCGTGACCGCCGTCCCCGCCCTGTTCCTCGCCCGCACACCGAGCCGGGCCCTGCGGGGGGAGAGGGGGGTGTCGGACCCCCCCACTCCGGTCCCCGCCTCGCTCCCTCCGCCCCCCGGCCGTCCGCCGCGTTCTCACCTGGGCTGCGGGCGGCAGCTCGATCTCCATGGCGCGGGTCGAGGCACGAGAGACCGGGATCGGCGGCTGCTGCCCCGGCACGGCCTTGTCCTATCTCTCGGGCGCTGCCTCGGGACGGAGGCGGCCCGCACCGCCCCGCGCTCCGCCCCGCCGGCGCCCAGCCACTCAGCGGCGGGCGGGAGCCCGCGGACGCGGCTCGTTTACCGGCAGCGGCGCCCGGCAGTGCCGGGAACATCGCCCGCCCCCGTGCTTCCGCGGCCCCGCCGTGGGGATGATGCGTCGGCAAAGGGCAACCGGCAGCAGGACTTCATATTCCCGTGTGCCGTTGTAGTACCGCTTTATTCTGCGGTCTGAAAGAGAACCCAGCTGACTCCAGCTGAAAGGGCTCTGGAGGAACAAAAGTGGACTGTCACAAGTTAGAAAGCCTCTGAGTACAGCTGCTGCCAGCTCCTTGCAAATGATGTTTTTATCAAGTAGCGGGTTTTGACTATCCAGTGTTAAAAAAGACCCAGCAAGCGGAAGACCCAGTTAGCACGAAATGAGTAATACACAATGTCAGAAAGAAAAAGGAAAGCAAACGTGAATATCAGGTGCTGCCATAGTGCAGAAACAGCTTGCTTGGAGCCTGGGGTGGAAGAAAAAGGCAAGGACACTTCTGGCCAGGGCAGATAAAAGGGCATTGGCTATATATTTAATTTGTGTTCCTTGCTTGATTTCTTTTCTCCTTTCCTTATCTGCACACCTTGAGCTCAAGCAGACTAGTGCTTCACTTCTGACTGACAGGCAGCCACCCAAAAACCAGCTTAATAAAAATTCTGCATCTCTGCACTATTCCCACTGTATGCTGCTGACGGAGGACTTGTATGGCATTAGGGGCTTCCTGAAACAAAGTATGAGCAAAACTTCTGCAATATTCTTGTTTTCATTTGGTTAGGCAGCCTGAAGTACCTGGAAAATGTTTTCTACTAACATTGCATCCTTCTAATACTGGAGTATATTTGGGATATAGTAACATCTCCATATGGTAAAGAAATGTGAGCCCACATATAATGCTTTGGTCTCTGTCTGTAAATACGAACTTTTGGTCAAGCACATAAAAACCCAAATGCTTTTTCCATTTGCTGTATTCCTGTTACAGAATATGTTCATTTAGCTTATAAAACTTACAAACCTAGTCTATGTGTATTGACACCCATTATTACAATATTACAGCTTACATGCAAATGAATAGACATCATTTCTAGGAAATTTAAAGTAGCTGAAATACTATATTGAAGTTACCTGTTTTTATTTTAGACATTCCCATTATTCCTACTCTTACATTAGACTTTTTAGGAAAACACTTTAAAATGCTAGGAAAATGGAAAGATCTGGCCATATTTTCAGATCATGCACTATTAACAACATTCTGATGAAGTTCTTTCTAATGTATCTGCATAACATTTTATATTATTTTATATTAGAATAAGTGAAGATAAAAACTTCATAGTGCCACCTACTGCTGAAAATACACATTTTAAAGACCTTGCTAGTTTGGATTCCTTCAAACAAAAGGACAGTGGAAGAAAATATCTGTTGGAATAAGACCTTTCAAACCTCTGAAGTATGGTGAAGACAAGTCTTGACTTGCCAAGTGCACTTAAGTCACACTGAGTTCTTTAACTTTGAGCCAGTGGCTACTTTGACTGAAGCTCTAATGAGGAGTGAATGAGGAGCTGGGATTTTGACTAGGAGTTTTTTCGCTGTTACATTTTTAATGAGAACTTTCACTTTAAAACTAGTCCCTGTGACATCACTAAAAAAACACTGATGAAAGGATTCAGTGAAGCAAAATGTATTTTTCACTCAGTGATAAGGAGACATCCTCTGTTTCACAGAGAACTCTGCATGAGATGTAAGCCAAGGACCAATAGAATCAGCCTCACATGTGGCACATCCCTTCTTACATCGCACAGTCATAAGATGGGCCATGGAACTCTGCTTGGTTGTTGGCATAAGATGGTATGTTCTCAGCCACAATGGGTGGAATTCATCTCTCTCACCCTTACCATCTGAAAGTTAGATGAGGCTAACTTACAGTCAAAAGTACAGTAGCTGGTTCTTTCTTCACTTCTTGGAGAAGACCATCTCCACTATTAGTAAAATAGTAGCTATATGCCTGCAGCCTTTTCCACATCACAGACATTAAGTATTGGTTGTGATCTTATTCCCAGGAACCATGGAAATACAAGAAATGGTAGGATTTTGTACATGAGTGTGAACAAGTAGAATATAGACCCTTATTCTTCCTGAGGAAAGTTCAACTTTAAATTTGTCTCTGAGGAATTAGGAATGGTTTATCTACTGCTGGTACTTGTCTCATCCTGTAGAATAAACTGACACTGAAATGCTTTAAGTGCGTGATTGTCAGAGTTTCGGTCTTGTTATGGCTTGATGACTTAACCTTAGAAATTAATTTCCTTTCAAGTTGAAAGATTCTTGAGAACAATACATCTAAACCACATAAAAGACAAGTTAGCCCCTTTGTGGCAGTATTTTAGAAGCCTTTGGAGGCACTTTGCACACACACATACACGCACACCCGTTTTTACTCAGAGAAAGCCTGCTGTTGTGACAGTATCACTCTACAGTCCTCCATTTTTGCAACAGCAACCAGATCTCAACAGATAGTTGTTTTCAGAAGAGCTTTCTGCCATGTAATTCTGGGAGCACATTTTACCACTATTGCACATTAAAAATTCACCTTCTATTAAGTTAGCTTCATAAAAACCAAGATAAAGTACATTTCTTAGTTGTTGAACTTGTGTCTTTCATGCTGACCTTTTGGTCAACTAAACATTATTTTTAATGTATTTACTGAACTAGGTTTGGCTGGGATAGAGTTAATTTCTTCACAGTAGCTTGTATGGGGCTGGATTTTGGGTTTGTGCTGAAAACAGTGTTAATAACACAGGGATGTTTTACTTATTGCTGCATAGTGCTGGGGCCTTCTCTCTTTCTTAGGTTGCCTTACTAGTAAGTAGGCTGGAGGTGCACAAGGAGTTGGGAGGGGACACAGCCAGGACAGCTGACCCCAGCTGACCAAAGGGATATTCCATACCATATGGCTTTGTGCTCAGTGGTAAAAGCTGCACTGCAGGAAAAAGGAGGAAGGGAGGGGGACTTTCAGAGTTAGGCTGTTTGTCTTCTCAAGTCACCATTACATGTAATGGAGCCCTGCTTCCCTGGGGATGGCCTGCCAATGGGAAATAGTGCCCAAATTCTTTACTTTGCTTTGCCTTTACTACAGCTTTTGCTTTACATACTAAGCTGTGTTTATCTCAACTCACAAGTTTTCTCACTTTTACCCTCCTGATTATCTCTCAGATCCCACTGGAGAAAAGTTAGAGTGTGACTGCATGGTGCTTGGTTGCCAGCTGGGTTAAACCACAACAGTCCTTTCTGGTGCCCAGTGTGGGGCTCAAAGGGTTCAAGGTAATGACAGATTTGATTGGAGTTTGCTAGGCTGAATTTATAGCTGATACAGCTGTTTAGCTATTAATTACTAGGTTCCTGTGCTTGCTGTACAACTGCTGCTTGTTAGCGGCTGCTTTTTGGTCTTGCTGTTTGCTGTAGGTCTTATCATCTTACCCAGTGGTGCCTGGGAGCACTTTGATAACAGCAGTGACCACGTGCATGAACTGGCTGATGGCCAGTTGCCAGGGCATCACTGCTGTTCCTGTGCTGCTGTGCTGGACAGCCTGGAGCTCCAGTGTCAATTTGAGTAGAAAGGACTTGAATTGTGGGTAAATCCATGTGGGAGCAGGACATCCCAAAGTGTCTGTGGCTGTGGGTAAATCCATGTCAGAGCAGAACCATCTGTTGCTGCAGATACGTCCACACCACAGCAGGTATACCCCTGAAGGGACTGCAGCCCAAGAGTAAGTCCACATGGGAGAAAGTACACCTTGAAGTATCTGTGGCCATGGATAAGTCCACAACACAGCAGGTACACACCCCTGAAGGGACTGTGGCCCATGAGTAGGTCCACACTGGATCAAATCCACCCCTAAGGGACTGGGGTCTGTTGGTAAGCTCATGCTGGAGCAGAGGCAAGGAAAGTACACTGTGGTGTCCAAAGAGATCAGAAGCAGAGATTGTGATGGATATAACTTTAAATTGTTGTAATCTATGATTCCAGTTACATATTATGGGATTATTATAGCAGGAACCACTACCAGTGGAGGACCAGTCTTACAAGAGGCAGTGCAAGTGCAGCAGTGACCCAGCCTGAGCTGGCCAAGTAACTCCACACAACACACCACCTCTCCTGTCCTGAGCGACCACTGTAACAGACAGAACTCAAGTCATGGACTAATGAACTCATGAGACATTTCACAGACATTTACAGGGGTGGGACATCAGCTAATGATACCTGTGTATATATATCAAAGGATGGAAAGGGGGAAAGGGGCTACTGAGGATCTATTGGATAGTGTGGGGCCTGAGCATGATGTAAATGGTATGGAATAAGGAGTGAAGAATGCACTTGTTTTGGCTGGGATAGAGTTCATTTTCTTCATAGTAGCTAGTACGGTGCTTTGGTTTGGGTTTATGATGAAAACACTGATGATAAAACACTAATGATTGTGCTTCCTGGTGTGGTACAGGCAATGCCTGCAGCATGACAGAGGAGGAAGGATGAGCACTCTCACTGTTGGCTAGGTAATTATTTTGCTCGTAGATGCACGAGTTACAAGTTACGAGTTAATGTATTGTGAATTATGAATTAGAGAACTTGTGAGTTAGAAACATTGTGACTTCAGTGTTGAATTAGTGAATTCATGTGCTAGACTAGCCTGTACAAAGGGGATTGAACCTGTGTTTGTTGTATTTGTTTTCTTTCCAAATGAGCTCATAAAACAAAGTTTAACTTACAGAGTATATTGACCTGTAAATTTGAGAGATCCAAAAGGACCGTGACACAGAATGAGCAGTCTGTGGCTCTTATCCCTGTTATCTGTCCACATACTTTAAAATGGCTACTTTCCAGAAGAGTGAACATGCAGTGACTAGGGACATGCCTCTGAAAGGAGTAAGGGAAATCCTTCACGATACTCAAGTTCTTTGTTGGTTGTCACCCCACATTCTTGTTTTCCTTTAAGGGCCTTGCCAAAGACCTCCTGTGCTCACTCCTCTACCCAGGGTAGTTATAATCTGCCTGATCGTTCCCTCTTGTTTCATTCAGTATGGACTATGGACTTCTAGTGTTAATGTGTGTCAGCCTGAATAATTAAAAGCAATGTGCACTGCATCCCAGAAAACTAAGAAGGTTGAAAATATGCTTCTTCCTTCTCAAAGAAAGGTGCAAACTCAAATCACAGCCAGCAGGAAAATGAATAAGCTATTTGGCAATACCATGTACAACAAAATAGCATCATAAAAATGAAATTATTTAAAGTAATATTCAAATCACGCAGTCATCGTTGATTTAGTTTCCAATTATACAGAGGTAATTGTATTAACGAAGTGCCTCATTCAGTTTGGTGGGAAAACAATCGAAAGGTTTAATGTCCTGGCATCTGCAGAAAATAAATTCTATGATCTGTGCTCCTAACCCAACTAGAATCCTAATTCTTGTTTTCCCCAGGGCATACTACAACATCAGTATGTCTGCTGAAGGGTATTCTATGACCTTCAGGAGCCAAGACAATTCTGGAGTAATTCTAGAATAAAGTAACTGTTCTAGAATTAAATATTGAAGAAACTTATCCCAGAATTGATGACCCCGTATATATAGTGATTTAAAATCCAACTTAAATTCCATGAATAGAAACATTTGCAACCTGTGTTGCACTGAATATACTGGGAATGGTTTTAAAAGACTTTCTGACTTGAACTGCTGAAGCCAGACTAACTATAAGGAAGCATACTACAAAGAGTCTCATGTGCATCACGTGCTTTGGAGTCAGAAGCCCATGTCTGATATGCTACTGAACTCTCCACCAACCTTGAAGTGTTGGAGTGCATTTATGCCATAGGTGAGCTGACACAGCTCCTGCTTATCTTTCTTTCCCTTTAAATTCTCAAGTGTTCCCAGGAGCTCAGAGAGCCTAGACATTTCTCAAATGCAAACTATAATTGTTCAAGGATTTTGTGTTGCCCCTTCTGCACCCAAAAAAAATCCAGAAAATGTGAAAACAAGAATAATAATGAGGTCTCTTTGACTTTCATGATGCAAGAGATAACACAAACATTGGGTAGAGTATCTGTCCTATCAAAGTATTTTAGTATACTAGCTGTATCTACACAAATAGAATCAATAACCCAAATAGTGTTTAATCCATGATACAGTCATCATCTCTTCTAGGAAATACTTTCCTTATCTTCTAAGTCATCTCAGTACGTCATTGCTGTAACAAAAGCATTTGCTAAATAGGGGAAGCTCCAAGTGATTTCCTGTTCTGATTTTCAAAGAGAATGGGAGACACTGGCTGATTTATTGCCACTTTTTTCCTTGTTTCTTTTTTTTTGAGATTTCCCTTGTGATATTCACATGACATGGGAATGCAATATGCTCTTTACTCCTTCAACCTCTTGTCATGTGCCATACCCAGCAAGCAGTCCCTACTTACCATGTTTAAAATCTAAGCAACCTGCTGACTCTGTTCACACTGTTCTGCAAGAGCTGCTTTTGGAGCAGCCGCATGCACAAGATGCTCTGCTTCGCATCCGCAGGGCTGTTACACAGCAACCTGTTAGCTATCGGCGGCTGCCAGCGCTGAGCCTGTCCTGATACATCTGGTGGGATGCTAATGTCCAAGTGTGCTGAGGGTTGTGAGGATGGGCATAGGTAAGAGGGCAGATGCCAGTGCTGCACAAGAATGCTCATGCAGCCTCACTGCTAGCTAGGCAGCATAGGTAATGCCTTCACCAAGTGGCACAGACTGGCTTCCAGTGTCAACCTGTCCTCTATGCCTCAGTATGAAGGCAACAGAAGTGCAGAAACCCTGGAGTCATGGTGTTTCTGTCGGCATTTTGTACTGTTCTTCTTTTTTTTTCTTTCTACTTGCATCTCTTTCTCCTCTCCTAAGTATGTCATTATTTATCTACATGGTGTTGCCACTCCTCATCTGCTGTAGGGAGAGTGTAAGACATAGCCCCCCGTGCCTATGGATGGAGACTGGACTTGAATAGGAAGCAGTATCACGCAGGCAGTGTGATCCTCAGCACTATACTGGACCGTGTGCCTACTTTTTATTTAAATACAGGAAGGTTTGCTTCTGGAAGTGACTTTCCAAGGAAACAAAACCTAAGCTTGATTCTCAGAATATCAATGCAACCCTCGCTTCTATGCACCCTTTTGAGACCTGCTACTAGCGTAATTTGGTGGCTGGTCAGTAGCAGCTAACAAAGAAGTGTTGGGATCTCTGGCAGCCCATGACCTGCTGACCCTTTTTTTCTACTCTGTATTTCTAAGTACTCTGTTCCAGAAGAAGTTGTCCATTATGGGTTCCCTTTAATCACTCTTAGAGGTCTGGACAAGTTGAACTTACACACATTTGTCCAAACAAATCTGGCCTCCAGCCATTGATCGTTTTTCTGACTTTTTTCAGAACTCTGTCTCATCTATCTTTTGTCTTTTTGACAGTGCTCTGGATAGAACTGAGTATTTTAGGCCAAAATCATAAAGAAAATTAGTTAATCTTATGCTGTTACAGCTCCTCATCCACAGTCCAAAATTACATTGCTCTTTTGCCTTGCCATATCCTGTGCAAACTTGCATCTAGCTGCCAGGGCAAAAGAAGGAGTTTCCCATCATTCTCTTTTCCAATTCATGCTATTCTTCCACTGAAAAATTGTTTGGAATATTTGTATGCTATTTATCATAGCATATTTTCATAGAATCATAGAATCATTAGGGTTGGAAAGGACCTTAAGATCTTCAAGTTCCATCCCCCCTGCCGTGGGCAGGGACACCTTATGCTAAATCATATCACCCAAGGCCTCGTCCAACCTGGTCTTGAACACTGCCAGGGATGGAGCATTCACAGCCTCCCTGGGCAACCCATTCCAGTGCCTCAACACCCTAACAGGAAAGAATTTCCTTCTTATATCCAATCTAAGCTTCCCCTGTTTAAGTTTTAACCCATTATCCCTTGTCCTGTCACTACAGTCTCTAATGAAGAGTCCCTCTCCAGCATCCCTATAGGCCCCCTTCAGATACTGGAAGGCTGCTATGAGCTCTCCACGCAGCCTTCTCTTCTCCAGACTGAACAGCCCCAACTTCCTCAGCCTGTCTTCATACGGGAGGTGCTCCAGTTCCCTGATCATTCTCGTGGCCCTTCTCTGGACTTGTTCCAACGGTTCTATGTCCTTTTTATGTTGAGGACACCAGAACTGCACACAATACTCCAGGTGAGGTCTCACAAGAGCAGAGTAGAGGGGCAGGATCACCTCCTTCGACCTGCTGGTCACGCTCCTTTTGATGCAGCCCAGGATACGGTTGGCTTTCTGGACTGCGAGAGCACACTGCTGGCTCATGTTCATTTTCTCATCAACCAACACCCCCAAGTCCTTCTCCGCAGGGCTGCTCTGAATCTCTTCTCTGCCCAACCTGTAGCTGTGCCTGGGATTGCTCCAACCCAGGTGTAGGACCTTGCACTTGGCATGGTTAAACTTCATGAGGTTGGCATCAGCCCACCTCACAAGCGTGTCGATGTCCCTCTGGATGGCATTCCTTCCCTCCAGGGTATCAACTGAACCACACAGCTTGGTGTCATCAGCAAACTTGCTGAGGGCGCACTCAATCCCACTGTCCATGTCAGCAGTTAAACAAGATGTTAAACAAGACCAGTCCCAACACCGATCCCTGAGGGACACCACTCGTTACTGGTCTCCAGCCGGACATTGAGCCATTGACCACAACTCTTTGTGTGCGGCCATCCAGCCAGTTCTTTATCCACCGAGTGGTCCATCCATCAAATTGATGTCGCTCCAATTTAGAGACAAGGATGTCGTGTGGGACAGTGTCAAACGCTTTACACAAGTCCAGGTAGATGACATCAACTGCTCTACCCCTGTCCATCAGTTCTGTGGCCCCATCATAGAAGGCCACCAAATTGGTCAGGCAGGATTTCCCCTTAGTGAAGCCATGCTGGCTGTCACCAAGCACCTTGTTGATTTTCATGTGCCTTAGCATGCCTTCCAGGAGAATCTGCTCCAAGATTTTGCCAGGCACAGAGGTGAGACTGACTGGTCTGTAATTCCCCAGGTCATCCATTTTCCCCTTCTTGAAAATGGGGGTTATATTTCCCTTTTTCCAGTCATTGGGAACTTCCCCTGACTGCCATGATTTCTCAAATATGATGGCCAGCAGCTTCGCAACTTCATTTGCCAGCTCCTTCAGGACCGCGGATGGATTTCATCAGGACCCACGGACTTGTGCACGTTCAGATTTTTAAGATGGTCTCGAACCAGATCCTCTCCTGCAGTGGGTGCAAGGTCTTCATTCTCACAGTCCCTGCATCTGCCTTCCAAGACTTGGGTGGTTTGGTCAGAGCATTTGCCAGTGAAGACTGAGGCAAAGAAGTCATTCAGAACCTCAGCCTTCTCCAAATCCTGTGTAGCCAGTTCTCCCAAGAGCTTCCTGAGGGGGCCTAAGTTCTCCCTAGTCTGTACCTGTAGAATCCCTTTCTGTTATCTTTAATACCTCTAGCTAAGTT